TATATGTGTGTGTGTGTGTGCGTGTGTGTGTGTGTGTGTGTGTGTAATATACGCATGTATGTATTGTGTTCTGATATATCTAGAATAAACTGCAAGATATGAAAGTATTCTTCCAATAAACTGTGGAGACGTGTAAGACGATCTCGTGATGACCAAACATACCGATAAAGTCAATGGATAGTTGGGAGAATCCACCTTTTGATAGTACAGCTTGAATACCAGACTGCTTCTGTGTGCGCTGCAAACTAGCATCATTTATGAAAGCTCTGAAATCTTCGTTATCAACTACAAGCTTCTTGATCTCGCTCATTTCCTTGTCTAGAACTTCCAACTGGTTCTTCTTGGACCCAGCCGAGTAGAGGGCGTTCGCGTAACGCCCCTGAACACCATACAAAAAGACAGGGGGAGCTACAAGCCCACTAGTAGAGGCCGTGGCCATACCACGAGCAAAGACGGTGCGTAGCATAATGTAGGTATTACGTGGTTGTACAGTACGTGTTTCAAGGCGTGTGTCTCTACTGGCTGCGTGAGCGTACAAATTGCCTTTTGTGTACCCAGAGGTGGCGCTGTTTCTCGTTCGTATGAAATAATATTTTTTTGTGCCGTGACTTCAGCCAAAACAGTCCCGACGGCCAACGATGCCCTGCTCGGGTGAGGAGAGGTCACTGTTTGCGTCTGTCAGTGTCTAAAAGGGGGCTTGACAAAGGTCCTAAACTAGGTTTGTTCTCTTTCTGCCAAATCAAAATAACGGGTTCTTCTGAGTCTGTGATGCTCCGAGTGAAAACTTTGTTTTTGGGTCGGTCCCTAGGGCCGTGTGTTCTTCTCGGAAGTAACAAATTTAGGTGATACTAAAATAGATTTTTAATCGATGACAACTTTACCTCCTGCTCGATTTCACAGTTTCTTCTTCAGAAAAAGTAAAACCAAAACCAAAACTATTTTTACATTTAGGGAGGGAGGTTCGAACCTTGGTCCGTTCGTAAAAACGTATATGTATAAAAATATCGTTTTTGAGCATGTACAGTATAAAAATGTATTTTTCAAGTTAAAAAACGTAACCTTCTAAAAAACCAACTAAAAAAACATACATAAACAGAACTCAGTGGTTTTTGGGAAAAGGTTTATTTCCAGAGAGTATTGCAGGTCAAGACTTGAGACTCCCGACTATGATACTTTCGATCCAGGCCAACCAACACATACCGAATTCATCCGTGGTCTGGGGCGGCATTGGTTTACCCCCATCCTCGCTTCTCGACCGGATTATGACGGATAACCTGGTCCTTCTCGGTATTTCGTACTGCACTAACCCATTCCGCGGCACTACACGGCGCAGACCCGATCCGTACCACAGAGGTGGGTACTCTACTTAGTAGGTCAGCAAGCGAATATATGGAACATTCGATAGAAACAGTGTTTTGTCAACACCGGCCCGAATTGACTCAGCAAATATCTTCCATTGTCGACTCACTTGGCCCAAGCTTCAAACGGGAATTTACTGACCACCTCTTCCCATCAATCTTTCCTAAAACCACCACAGTGACTACAAGAGCCATACCATATGTTCATACATTGTATCATACATACTTGCCATTTTTTTAAATTAATAATATTATCCCTACTATATGCGATATTGTAGTGGAATGACGTGCTAAACTAGCCACGGTAAACCCAACTTATACGGTCGTAAAAGGAATGCTAGTATTATAATATTTTGTGCTAGCAAATTCACTGGTGTAAACTAGTGTAAAGAATACTCTATACCATATTTTTTTTTTAAAAAAGATATGGACAAGCAGCCCAAGTTCAGTGGTCAGTATTATACACGTGTTTGTGTTTATGCTGCTATATCTAAAAAGCAGAACTGAAGGATGAGATACTTTCAGAATTAGTAAAAAAATAAAGAAGAACATATGTTGAGAATGGCATATATATAGAGTCAACATCTCGTATTCTATACTGTGTAGTAAACAAGGACTTCCACATATAGAAGTGTTTTCCTTTCCAAACAGGTCTTGGTACTATATTTATAAATAAACGATACGAAGATGATGTGAGAGGCTGTCATATGGGCAGATATTATGATCTACAAAACAGGAAGATTGCAATAACTGACTGGTGTATGTTTAAGTTCTCTAATGGGTACGTTATACTTGACCTAACAAACGTCGACTTCTCTAAGTTAAAGTGTCCTTCACATAACTACGTGAGTTGGAAACACAAAGACGTTGTCAAAACCCAAATCGAAGATTGTTTAAAACAGGGTCTAATTGAAATCAAATATGATGCAACCCCAGTTAACTTAGCCCTCTTAGCGGTCGATCAATATAAATCTGATAGAACATTTAATAAAACAAGAGTAGTACTAGACCTGTCGCCAATCAACAAACTAATTCCGCAACATAGTTTTCCCTTACCTAAGATAAGCGAGATACTACACAAAATGGAGGGTGCGACTATCTTTTCCAAGATAGACTTAAAAGCTGCATTCCATCAACTACAGATATATCAGCCTCATAGGAAATACTTTTCCTTTACTTGGCAAGGTAAGAAGTACCAGTTTAAAGGTGCACCTGAAGGTTTACACATGTTACCTTCTTTCTTCCAACAAG